AGTTGCACCATTCTCATGCAATGCTGGGAGGCATGGTGCGCTGCGAGGGCCGAGCAACAGGCCGAGCACAATCCACAATGTGCAACAGATCAACGGCATGACTCGCAGGGGAAGAAGACCTACTTGTGAGGGCTGCACAAGTTGGAAGTGGACTGTGACAAAGCTCGAGCAGGGCGGAGTAAGGCGGAACGGAATGAACGCAACTATGTAAAGGTCCAATCAAACTCTGTAACGAAGGATGCCGGTGAGAACCTACTGGGCGAAAGGCCCTAAAAATCGGGCGATCGAAAAGGGGCAGGAGTGTTGTCGGATGCGTGCCACAAAATCGCTCAAGCTCAGTAAACATTCACGGGCGTGGCCCTCGGCGAGTGGTTGAAGCGTCAATCCAAGAAAAGCATGGACACTTAAAGGCGCACGGTAGCACAGCGCCAGCGTGTCCGATCTCTTGCCAGGGCCAAGTTAAAATCTTCTTTACACTACAGTCATGGGTGACTCTGCCGAGGGCTTAACTCAAGGGACCATGCAGGAAGACCGGTTCTGTAGCGAAATAAAAGAAGTGAATGGGGCATTCGCGACATCTTCTTGCCGGTGTTCGCACCAGTGGCAGCACCTGCTTCCTCGGAATGACACTTGATCAGCGGGTCCTCACCAGCTTGGGCTTCTTTTGGGATCCTCTTGCAAGGGGCATCTTACTGCTCTCTGTCGCTCGAGGCAGCAAAGCTTTGACGACCGGGGGAGTCTGCATTGCACAATGGCAGCCTGATGCCGAACACCAAGAACAACAGAGATACAAGCCGACCCGCAAGGAGGATGTATGGTATTCGCCGATGGACTACACTAGCGCCGATTTATTGATTGGTTGAGTGAAAGAGTGATTGAGTGACTCAGTGAGTGAGTAAGCGAGTGCATGAGTGTCTGTGGGTGCTGGCACACAGCATTGCCCTCGCAGACACTTACAAAGCGCCCGGTAGCACAGCGCCAGCATGTCCGATCTCCCGCTTGGGCCGATGAAAAGTCTTCTTCCCATGTTGAGGATTTATA